TGTCTAATATGGAGAATGTTTAATATCGAAAAACATAAAAAAAATTAAATTAATTCCTTTTAATAATATGTGGAAATACCCACTCTTTGTCTGATGAAGGTCGTGAGACTGGAAACCCGTGTAGCAAAATTATGGAAAATAAAGCATAATATATTTTTTTAAGAAAATGCACATTAGAACCAAAAACGTTTGCGGTTTCTCCCTTCTTACATATATTATATATATATATATATATATATATATATATATAATCTCGGCTGCGAAATAAAATGGTGCTGTCGTAATAAATTTTGGTAATCAAAAAATGTAAAAAATGGAGTGGGTGAAAAAAATGAGAAAATTTAATCGGTGGGTGGGTAAACTGAATAAAAAAAGTTTTCAAACGAGATTATGAAACCTCAGAGAATTAAAACTATAAATGAATCTCCATTAAATAAATTAATTTAATTTAAATGTTGTTTCCGTTCTTCTTCCTCAAGCAAAAAATATTTTCCATTCTTTGGACGTTCAAATTATCGTTCACTCATTTTGCATGTTTTGTTTGTCGAGCTTTCAGCTTAAATTTTCATTAAGATATTTCCCTAACAGAATGTTTGCAAGACAATGGTTCTCCATCAAAGTGCAATTCAAAAAGGTAAATAGGTTCACCTACCGCCCGGTTCACACTTCTCCGTGATCATTTCAACAGAGGTTTATCCATTGTTTCTTGTTTAGGAATGGGTTTTCGGTTCCTTCTACAATCTACTTCAACTCTATACTTCTAACGTCTCCACCTGAACTTTGGAATATTATTTACTAATTATTTATTTTTCCCCAATAAGAGTAGATAGTTTCGCCTATAGCCCGGTTTAAATAACTATCCGGTTTTTTGTACAGGTGTAGAGGTCTATTCATTGTTTCTCTTCCTGGGTAAGACGTTAAACTACATCCGCGTCCTGGTTAAGACGTTAAACTACGTCCAGCAGCAAGGCCTCTGATCAGGAAGTTTTGAGGAGCGTGGAACCACCTCTTAATTGCTGGTGTTCCCAGGTCCACCCTGACCCGGGGTGGTAGCATCTGTTAGGGTCCCAGCTATGGGAAAATAGTTAACTATTACCAGCAATAACTTTTTGAAAAAAAAAATTACCAGCAATACAATTTTGAAGGAAAAATATTACCAGAAACAGATTTTTGATAAAGCAATAAAAAATTTTGTCGGCGTTAAATAACCCATTGAGGTTGATATGCCGTAAAACAAAATAAACCAAACCAAACCAAATTATCCATTGTTTCCTGTTTAGGATTATGTATCCGGTTTTTTCTAATGTCCTTTTCATTTTCTTTCACTTCCGGTAACCCCTTGCGTATTAGTGACATTATGGGAGGGGAAGGATTTTAAAAAAGATAATTTACCAGCATATCTCATGAGTAGGTTGACTGTGAACAGTCAAAAATTAATAAGTGGTAGATTGTGTAGTGAAAAAAAAAATCTAAAAATCAATAAGCGGGTTAGGACGTTTATTTGTCACCCGAGAGTATCAAGCAGAAAGACAGAGGTAATTAAAAAAAGTATTTAATATATAAAAGTAGATTTAATATGTGGATAACGTAGAGGTTATTAACGCTGAAATTGGAACCGACGAGCCGTGTTCAATTTCCAGTCGGGTTTATTACGTTTACTCCACACTAGGGCTCACTGGAAAGATATAAATCATCTATTGTCCCTCCAGGCTATGTGTTAAATAGTAGAGAAAACTGGGCTCTTAAGCCTTGGTTGGCTGCTGGTCTAGTATGTATGGCAATTCACAAATATTAAAAGAAAAGGAAGCTGTAGAGGACCGTGACGGAATATAGCATTAAAAAGTATGCATTCAAGCTGTAATTCCTTACATGCACGCAGATTTAAATTGAGACGTATGAATATTGCAATATAGTCATTATTTTCGTCACATCATATGTGCTGGCGTAGGAACATCACATGTACTGTGTCTAAGGCAAAGATAGCGAGACAGAGCCTGTTGTTTCTCTGAGGCTGGTTGCCACCCCAAAACAACAGATCCCAGAACTGCCTGCTATGCCTGCAAAAAAAAATTGGATTCATGACTTTTAGCGCGAACGAAACATATCGAGCAGAATTTGAACTCGACTCGCCGAAAGCCGTCACCCGCACATCCACTCATTATTTCACACACGCATAAATACACATATATATATATATGTGTGTGTGTGTGTGTGTGTGTGTGTGTGCGTGTGTAGATTTTTGTGTCTGTTCGTGCGGATCCCTTACTTATGTTGTACCATTTCATTATATCATTAAAGATGGTCTTGTCAGCATTCCCACATATCTGCCCAAGTGCTGGGTAGGGTTGACTTATGGCGACGATAATATATTGAAAATGTTAATTGGTCTGTCAACCAATTTTCCTGCTGCGGAAAGCTGGTGTCTAGGCCTTAAACGACCGAGCCACTATTGTCCTGTCTTCCTGCTTTCCTTCCACATCTCAGTTTTCTTCACCGTCTCTTACAAGCTTCCAGTTCGGTTGTGAAAGATTCGTCCAACAATATTAGCCGCCATTTTGTCTGTTGCTGTAGGCAGGACGCGGCGATCCGATCGCGGACTGATCCGTATAAAATAACGAGTAGTTAGTAGAAAGAAAGAAAGAAAGAAAGAAAGAAAAAAAAAGGAAGAAAGAAAAAAGAAAGGAAGAAAGAAAGAACGAAAGAAGAAAGTAAGGAAGTAAGGAAGGAAACCTAACAAAAAAGAAAGGAAGGAAGGAAGGAAAACTAACAAGGAAGGGAGGAAGGAAGGTAGGAAGGAAGGAAAGTTAAGAAAAAAGAAGGCAGGAAAGAAGGAAAACTAACAAGGAAGGAAGGAAGGAAGGAAGGAAGGAAGGAAGGAAGGAAGGAAGGAAGGAAAAAGAAAAAATAAAAGCGGGAAAAAAGAAAAACTAAAAAGGAAGGAAGGAAGGAAGGAAGGAAAAAGAAAGGAAAAAGAAAAAGAATTGAGGAAAGAAGGAAAACTAACAAGGAAGGAAGGAAGAAAGAAAGGAAGTAAGAAAGGAAGGAAGAAAGGAAGGAAGGAAAGCTAAGAAAAAAGAAGAAAGGAAAAAGGAAAACTAACAAGAAAGGAAAGGAAGGAAAAAGGAAGGAATGAAGGAAAAAAGGAAGGAAAGCTAAGAAAAAGAAAGGCAGGAAAGAAAGAAAACTAACAAAGGAAGGAAGAAAGGAAGGAAGAAAAAAGGAAGGAAGGAAGGAAGGAAGGAAGGAAGAAAGAAAAAAGAAAGAAAAAGGAAGGAAGGAAAAAGAAGGAAAAAAAGAAAGGAAGGAAGGAAGGAAGGAAAGGAAGGAAGAAAGGAAGGAAGGAAGGAAGGAAACCAAGAAAAAAGAAAGGAAGGAAGGAAGGAAGAACCCAAGAAAAAAAGGAAAAGAAAGGAAGGAAGGAAGGAAAAGGAAGGAAGGAAAAGAAAGGAAGAAAGAAAGGAAAAAAGAAAGGAAAAGGAAGGAAAAACTAAGAAAAAAAAAGGAAGGAAAAAGAAGGAAAACTGAAAGAAAAAAGGAAGGAAAAAAAAAAAGGAAGGGGAAGGAAGGAAGGAAGGAAGGAAGGAAGGAAGGAAGGAAGGAAGGAAGGAAGGAAGGAAGGAAGGGAGTGAGAAAGGAAGGAAGGAAGGAAGGAAGGAAGGAAGGGAGGGAGGGAAAAGGAAGGGGGGAAAACAAACAAAAAAAGAAAGGAAGTATAACTGAAAAAAGAAAAGAAAAAAGAAATAATAACTATAAAAGGAGAAAGATTAACTGAAAAGAAAACTGGAAAAAAATGATAAAAAAAAGAAAGAAAGAAAGAAAGAACAAGTAAGAAAAAAGAAATTGTAATTAAAAAAAGGAAAAAGAAGGACAGAAAAGATAGAATAAAAAAAATCAAAATCAATTAAGAAAGAAAGAAAAAATATTTGGAAAAATAAAGAAAAATAACAAATAAGAAGAGTAATTGAAAATAAACAAAAATAAAATAGAAAGATAAGAAAGATAGAAATAAAAAAAGAAAAAAAAATGAATGAAAAAAAAGAAAGATTTAAAAAGAACGAAAAAGTATTAATTAAAAGAGACTAAAGAGAATTAAGAATAAGAAAATGCGAATAGAAAAGAAAGAAGAAGGGAAACAGAATGAATTCAAAGAATGAATGAGAAATTAACGAGTAAATACATGAATGAAAAAAAAAGGAAATAAAAGCGAGATAAATGATCAAAAGAATGAATAAAAAGAAGAAAGCAAAATGGAAATTAGAAAAGGAAGAAAAAAGAAAATTAGAGAAAAACTTAAATAAAAGACGAACGAATAAAAACTGAAAACGTCAGAAAAAAAAGGAAATAAAACGTAAACAGACGAGAAATTCCAGAAAAAAAAGCTAAAAAAAAAAGAAAGAAAGAGAAACGAAAAAGAGAAAAGAAAAAGACGGAAAAAAACCGGAAAAGTAAGAAAAAAAAAAGAAAAGAGAAAGAAAGAAAGAGAAAAGCTCCATTCTGGCGTTTACAGTTTTAGAAAGGCGATTGGTCTGATAAAAGAAAGGAAAAAGGATAAGAAAAATAAAAAATAAAAAAAAAAAACATAAAATGAATTAGACGAAACACGAAAACAAAAAAAAGAATAATAAAAAAAAAAAGACAACAAAGTAAGGAAGTTTGGCGGCGACAGTTAAAAAGCAACAAAAAAAAATTATACGGTGACGGAAATAGCAAGCTTTGATAATTTCTTCATTGGCCTTTGCCAATTTTTTTTTTTTTTAAATATATTTTTGTCTTTTTCCGCGTGTGTGTGTGTGTGCAATAATAAGATTCGTTTGTTGGCGTTTGGGCTCGTGTATATTGATATGAACGTGCTGGAGAAAATCGCTACATAAAAATTAATATGTCTGCGCTATTTTTTGTGAATAAATAGGTTTTTGCTAGATGCCGTGATAAATATTGTTTTTCTGCCATTTACGGCTGACTTCCATACCATCGAGAAGAAAAAAGTCGGTTTGATGGTTGAGTTTATGAACGAAAGACTAAACCAAAAAGTTCATTTTTTTTTTTTTTTTTTTGGACAAAGAGTCTCATTTGATGACCACAAAATTAAGTATACTAGACGGGATTGGTAAAAACGTTTCATCATTTTACACTTGAAATGACTAGATGTAACCGTAAGTTCTATGCTAACAGTTTCTTCTCTCACACTTCTCTTTTATGGAACTCTCTTTCTGTCTCTTGCTTCCCAGTTAACTTTGATCTCAATTTTTATATTCTAGCATTATAATTCCTATTCTTTTATTGTTCTCTTCAACAATGTTTTTTTTTTTCTTTCTTTTTCCCATATTCTTTCATCTATGGTACCTAAACTTTATGAATTTAAGCACAGTACCGTATTGGCGGTAAAGTCTTATGATTTTGCAGTTGAAATGGCTAGATGCAACCGTAAGTTCTATGTTAACAGTTCCTTCTATCATTTGTGGAACTCTCTTCCGGATTATTTATCTGTTATTGCTGTATTTATTCCGTTCAAGTATTATTCATGAATGGCAATTGTTCTGATAAACATTCCTCTATGGTACCTAAACTTTATGAATTTAAGTGCGGTACTAGATTGGCTGCAAGGTCTCATTACTTTACAGTTGAAACATCTAGATGTAACCGTAGGTTCTATGCTAACAGTTCCTTCTCTCGCACTTCTTATTTGTGAAACTCTCTTCTGGATTCTTGCTTTTAGGTCAAGTTTGATCTTAAAAAATTTTAATTCAATTTCAATCGTTATCTTCTGCTAAAACATCCCTCTCTCTCTCTCTCTCTTCTCTCTCTCTCTCTCTCTCTCTGTTTCTCTCTTTTATTTAACCTTATATACTCTAACAGTCATTAACCAGTTCTGAAAGTTCTCCACTGCCTTAACCGGGTATTGAACTCACACTCTTTGGGTCCTGTCACTGGATCTAACTAACGTCTTTATCCACTGTGACATGTGAAGAAGGCCGGAGCGTACAACGGCTGAAACGTTGTAATAAATATGGCGACAAAGATGAGGACAATAGTTCGAATAATGTAAATAAAGAAAGGAGTTGTATCATGCTAAATGAAACAACATTAATCGAACTTTAAAAAAATCTCTGAGAAATTACTCTTGAACTTCAAATTTTACATAATTCAAAAAAAGATTTTCAAAATATTTTTATAGCAAAGGATTATAACGAAAAAATTCAAGAATATAGTCTTATGGAAAAGAAAGGAGTATATTTTGTTCCTAATAAATAATTACTGACAATAATCTGTTTTTCTTTTCTCCTCTTTGTACATCTCACTGTATGGAAGCACAACTGCTGACATATTCCGACAAATTTGGATGTTACATCCCTCGTTTGCATTGGCTTCAAAATGTCTGTTTCAACGCTTCAATTATTAGAAAAAAATTCACTGAATTACTTTTGGTGGATTTCTTTAAGGTAGGATATTTGGTGTCCTCTTTAGCCGAATTCAAGGTCATGATTCAGAGCCATGATTTGGGGCACCAATTGGAGGCCAGGATTTGGGGCCGTTATTCGAAACAATAATTTTGAGCCAGAATTTGGGGCCGTAAGTCGAGGCTGTGATTTCGAGTTATGATCTGAGGCGCTGATTCAGAACAATGATTTGTGGCCCTGATTCAGAGCCAGAATTCGGGGCCTTAATTCGGTGACATGATACACGAACGTTTTCAGTTGAATCCCTATTTTATGAATTGCTTTTCCAGAACTCTAAGAGAAATTGAATTCTCTCCTCTTTCTAAAAGCGGCAATTAAGTCCTGATTTCCGATTAACAGCCTACGTGTTAATCAGGTTGAAAAAAAATCCACTTTTATATTTTCAGTCAAGTAGTTGAGAATAGGAAATCTAAGCGCATTGTCAAGAATTAAGAATGCGTTTAAGATAACACAGTTTATTTATTTATTTGCATTTGAACCAGCTTTTAATTACTGCGTTAAGACGATTTATGAGCGAGCTCTCCAACATTATAAAAAGATGTATATATATTTATATCGTCAACACGCTAAAAAAAAAGAATTAATAAAGAGGGCATTACTTATATATATATATATATATATATATATATATATATATATATATATATATATATCACGGATTAGTAAAATTGGATGACTGAAAACTAAAAAAATTGTATATTTATTTTTTTTTTTTTATCGAAAATGTTTTATTAATGATTAACCATCTTCTAAAATTGCAAAAATATGTTTTGTTATTTACATTTTTCAAATGGTCTTATATTTCACTTGCATACGCTCGTACACACACACACACACACACACACACACACACACACAGATATATATATATATATATATATATATATATATATATATAAACATAGATAGAGAGATAATGGTCGAATTTAAATCAAGACTCCTGCCCAGGCAAATTTGTGTCTTATTAGTATTCAAAGAAATAAAGTGGTTTATAAAGGCGTTTATGCTGAGCAGACCTTCTTTACAGTTTCTGGGAGAGAATGCATAATCTGGTATGTTCAATCTCTTGAATGAATCCAGTCACAGAGTTAGCATAACCATCGACATCAAGGAATTAGAATTGTATTTTTGCAGCTCAACCAACATAAATCCCCTCACCTGCTGTGTGCTTTATGAAGCAACAAATGTTGAGCAGACCTTACCTCGACAAAGTTTGAGAAAATAGAGCGCTTAACAATATATCATCATATTTAACAAATTTAATGACGTTGTTTAAAATATAAGCATATATATATATTCGGATTTATTCATTGTATTTTTATATTTTAAAAAAATAAAATGGATATGGATATTGAAACTGTGGATAAACTGTTCAAAATTTATCTTTGTTGTTTTTTTTGTTTTTTTTTCAAGTATTTTCGAATTCTGAGTAGATTATCGTCAAGAAAACATATTGTATCCAAAGAAAAGATTATGTTGTTTAGAAATCCTGAATTTTTTATTAAACAGGCAATTTTAAATTGAATTTAAAATAAAATTTATTTTGGATTCGGCCATAATATACCTGGTGTAACAGCAAAATTTTCCAAATCGTGCAACAGCAACATTGTCCAATTGTTAGATTAAGTTTTAACCGTTGTATCTTAGAAATGATTAAAGATATATTATTGGAATTCTCCGCGGTTTTTATAACGTTATTGGACTCTGCTTTGAACAATAAGAATGTATTTAGCTCCAAGTTGAAATGATGATCCCTTTTCCTGACGTGACCTCCTGATCCAGATCTCCTCTCTTCCGGTCCCTCTTTTTTAAACTTATTCCCTTGATGGTTCTTGAATGGACTTTGATGATGGAAGCCAGAGTATGAATGTTGGTACCATTACTCTAGGCCTGAATGATTTTTTCTCATCATTGCTGAGGGCTGAGAAAAAACAATTTTAATCTGTTCTCTTTCTAGCTGAATAATTCAATGGCTTTTTCAGTGATCCTTACGACAAATGGTGTCAAAATGGCTAAACGTCTTACCTGAAAACCTGGAAAAAAACATTTTTGTGGGATGGACAGTTATCCCATGCTGTTACACGATTTGGACAATTTCGCTGTTACACTCGGTATGTGCATGCATACATAAATACCAGCGTTCGCGCAGAAACATATACACACACAAACACACATCTGACACATATGGTCAGGTGCTCCCGATATATATTTAGAGATTCTTGAAAAAATCAAAATAAAATCTGCAATGTTATTGCTCTTCACCTGGCATCTCGGCTTCAGTCACTTTCCCACTGTCTGTGGCATTTTTATGAATATTGTAATTGTTCTTATGAGCTTTCCTCTCCGGTACCTGGACTTTATGAATTTTAGTGCAGTACTTGATTGGCAGCTAGGTCTCATCATTTTACAGTTGACTTGGTTAGATACAACCGCAAGTTTTATGCTAATATTTTCTTCTTTGGTACTTTTCGCTTGTGGAACTCTCTTCCGGCTTCTTGCTTTGATCTTGAAAAAATGCCTAGGATTGTCAACTCTTATCGGCTGTCTTCTTTAATCTTGTCCTTTTATTGTTCTCTCTCCTTAATAATCTTTTTACTATTTTTATTCTTTCAAACTTATGTCTTAGTGGTTTTATTGTCTTTCTTGGGGTGAAATGATCAGCAATTATATATATATATATATATATATATATATATATATATATATATATATATATATATATATATATTTGACATAAATAAACGTGAAAAAAAAGCCATGCAAAATTCACTATCATTGAAAAAATAGAAATAGACAGAAAAGATAACCTTAGAAAAATCCTCGAGGATCAGGAAGAGAAATGGATTTTGCGTCTCAAAACACTTCGTCCTTACCCACATTTCTCACCCACACAAGACAGACATGTTTGCAGAGGTTTTGAGGTCTCACACTTATACGCACACTCACACAAATATATAAACATATACATATTACACACACTCCCCCAAAACTAAAAGAGAACATACACTTAATACACATATCTAATTCCCAGCAAC